CTAGACCAGTATCTAGGGTGGTGTGACCTGTATATTTGTGGCAGAGATGCACTTAAGTCATTCTGTCTTGCTGTCTCTTGATACAGGTATAATGCATTGTGTTATTTGGCGCTTTCGGCACGATCAATATCTGAAGCAGGTTGTGCCTTTAAGCACTCGCCTGAAGCCCAAGTCTACTCATATTCATGTAAGACTAGTTATCTAAGCTAATGATAAGTCATATGTAAAATTGGCTGTAAATGATGCAAAATATATAATTTGAAATGATGGCTCTCATTTGGGAAAGACTGCTCCATTCTGAAGAAGAAAATAGTGATTACAGGAATACAATATTGATAATATTTTAGATAATTCAATGCATGTTTAGTTTTAGACTTGAGTTAACATTCATTAATATATATTTGATTAGCTAACAGTGCCAGGAAATATGAAAAATTAACACATAGTCTTATTGGATGATATGTTCATTATTTTAAAGTTTGATACAGCTAACAGAGCCTGGAAATATGTAATATTCCGTTTTAGACAGCGATATATGTTTTATCTTTCCATGATGCGCAAAACTGATTGTCTTAATGTCATGTGTTTAATTTACGATTTCGGTTGAGAACTTACTTCCTTGAAAATAGTTGCCGTCTAGCAAAGAGATGCATAGATTTTGACAAAATGATTCGATTTCTTGACATTTTAGAAAAAGTTTAAAAAGCTTAATAAAATGACGGTACGAAAACCGAAAGTACAGATTTTTTTGATTTCATTATGGTATACCGAACTGTAGGCAAAATACCGCGGGTCTACTAATACTGTGGTATACAGTTTCACCCCCTAGTCATGAGTCTCTGAAAAAGAAAATTTGAATACATTATTTCAGTTTATCTTTTCATTTCTGAGTTTAGTTACATATAGAGTCTGGCGTTCATGTGTTATCTATAAAGGGTTGTATGAGTACTTTGGTAAATGTTAAGAATCCCCATACTAGTGTGTGACAGTTATTTCAACAGTGTATGTATGTTGATATCACTTAGTGGAAGTGTTTATATACAATATCACTTCATGTATACTCTGGCCTCTGTAGTATTTCATGTTGATTTAAAGAGTTCACTGAGAGGATATTTTATATTCATTATAATGTGTACTGGGTAAGCCAAGCTATCAGTTTAGATCATAGAGATCCATAATCGGTGATTAAATATCCTTCATTATTAGAACTAACTTCGAGCCAAAATGCTCCAAAATTCTGAAAGAAATCGAGTTATTTCACATGACTGAGTGGTGCCATATTGATGCATGGATGCTAACAAAACGGCATCCTGAACATAAATCAGAATCAGCCCATTGGTAAAGACCTAACTTTGTGTATTGTGTGTTACTAGAGTCCGTTTGACTTCATTTTGGACCGATGAATTGTTATTTTGCTGGAATAATGCTAAAAGCGGCGTAAAACTAAACTCACTCACTCACTAACAGCAGTATTTTCGATTATCAATTTTTTAAACCAGCCTTAGTTTTGGATGAGGCATGAATATGTGTCCTCTGAAGAGCAGTTGTAGGTTTGGTGGTTAAAGTGCTATGATATTGCTAAAAGTGCAGTAAAACTTATACTCACTCACGCAGTTGTAGGTTTGGACTTGATTTAATATATGCCATTGAAGTCGTTAAGATTAGATAAGATGAGATGAGTGCTCATTATATCGACCACCGTGTCATCTGTTAGAGTCGTGATTGCTTAATATGCTAATAGAGCTGGGGATATATAATAAACACCCCCATTCACTATCTATACAGTTTAACAACAGCTGTGGGATTCACACTAAATCCATAAAAATTCCGACTTCTGAGGAATGTTGATTTATTCATTATTGTCATAGACATTATGCTAATCATTGAACAGGGAAATTGAGTATAGTAACTCGAGTCTCTGGGAAGTAAACTGGGACAACTCTGTATTGTCCTTGTAAGCAGTGGACTTTGGATATAGAAAACAAATCTTTCCTGGTTGCTGTGTATTTAGTTGTCATCCATGGGCATATGGGTAGCTCTACTGTCAGGTTGTGCTGCCTGTGGAATCTGCCTGGGTTTCATCCTTTGTTGTCCTTTCCTTTATGTAGGGTGAATTGTGGCAGGGCTCAAGTGACCGGAGCTTAAAAATTTGGGATGTATTTTTATGAGAAAAAGGCCAGTTTTGTGAACATGCACTAAATACCATGTCTTCATAGGTAAGAGTTTCCCAAAAGAGTCTGATACAATTAGATAGAAACTGAGAACTTGTCAACTGGCAGTTAAACTGAGTCCCACTTTGTTTATGTTAGTTTCTAGTTGTGTGAGACAGACTAACTGTATCATCATTGTCACTGTAAACCAGCCTGGTTTGTCTGTAAGGTTCAACTGAGGGGCACTCATCTAAAACAAACTTGAGATGCTTGAGTTGACAGGGGTGGAAATAACTTTAAAATTGCTAGTGTACTCCAGTACAGTGGCACATGTAAAATCACTTGCCCTGATAATGTTTCCACTATACCGGAGGTTTTCTTGTTGACTTTTTAAATAAGCAACATAATTAATATTGGAAAGTCAATGGACACCGGTACAGTGTGATATACAAATTTGCTTGCCCGACAGAAAAAAACACTGGACCCGGACGTCGGGCAATGGGTTATTTCCACCCCTGGTTGAAGGAATTCACATATTTTCTGCTGATTTCATGTCTGTTTTGTGTATAGTTATGTTCTTTTCTTCAGTAATATTATACAGGTAACAGCTGCTCGTATAGATGAGAAATGGTTAGCACATATTCCACTTCGTTTTGAACTATCATTTACAGACTGATTTGACCTGTATTAATGACACAGTGAAGTCTTCATAACACCAGTTAGTTTTTCACATGCTAACACTATCGGGTGTTAACACTATTAATGGTGACAAAGTTGCTTGGAGATTTGAATCTAGGTGAATCAATGAACAGATGGATTCAATCTGTGTCATTGCTTAAACAGTATATAATTGCTAACAGTTATACATTTTGGATATGATGATACACTGTATATAGTGGATCTGCGAGAAGGTCGTAGGAAGTTGATAAAGATGGCGTCCTTATTGAAACCATCAAAGTGAATTAAATTTGTTGAGATTGAGCATCAGTGAACAAACCTAGTTCAATTGTCAGTGAAGACAGATGAGTGAGTGAGTTTAGTTTTACGCTGCACTCTGCAATATTTCAGCTATATGGCAGCTGTCTGTGAATAATCGAGTCTGGACCTGACAATCCAACAAGCATGAGCATCGATCTGCGCAATTAGAATACGATGACATGTGTCAACCAGGTCAGTGAGCCTGACCACCCATCCCTTTAGTCGCCTCTAACAACAAACATGGGTTACTGAAGACCAATTCTAACCCGGATCTTCACAGGTCCAGTGAAGCTAAAACCTAGTAGATGTGTCTATAAACAATAGTACCATATATATTTTCTGGCCTGTGTACTATATCATGTCGATTTAAAGAAAGGATATTTGATGTTCATTTTCATATTCTATTTTGCTTTATTTCTGTAAAAAAATTGTAATATTCACAAGAATGTGATTGTTCTGTCTAAGTAGTAGTGGCTTATAGAGCTAATATAAATAGAAGGGGGGGGGGGGGGTGCACACAGGTTGGGTGTGTGCTGAAGTTAGTCAGGGGTCAATTATTGGAGCAGAGCAGTTCATATGGCAGATATTGTAGGCCTATCTTGTATGAATGAAACCATCGGCACATGGTTTCCCATCGATGGATCAGTCTCCTTGGTATGTTGGGAACTGGAAGCCGGTTGTCTAAAGTTAACCAGTTCACCGTGACTTGTGTTCCTTTAGCATCCCGTGATGATCCAAGGATTCTTGGTTTGAATCCCAGGTGCTTCCTGATTATGATCACGTGGTTCCAGCACCATAGCCATGTTAGTGGGATTATTATCTTTGGTTTCTCAGGACAGTACCAATCTTGGCTGGATTGTAATCTTTGTTTTATCGACAAGGAGCCTTCAATTCTGCACAAGCATCTCTCAGCACTTTGGTTTCTCAGCAGTGTTGTTTGGATTATAATGCTTGGTAGCTTAGCGCAGTACCCATGTTGGTTGAATTATAATACTTGGTAGCTTAGCGCAGTACCCATGTTGGTTGAATTATAATACTTGGTATCTTAGTGCAGTACCCATGTTGGTTGAATTATAATACTTGGTATCTTAGTGCAGTACCCATGTTGGTTGAATTATAATACTTGGTATCTTAGTGCAGTACCCATGTTGGTTGAATTATAATACTTGGTATCTTAGTGCAGTACCCATGTTGGTTGAATTATAATACTTGGTATCTTAGTGCAGTACCCATGTTGGTTGAATTATAATACTTGGTATCTTAGCGCAGTACCCATGTTGGTTGAATTATAATACTTGGTATCTTAGTGCAGTACCCATGTTGGTTGAATTATAATACTTGGTATCTTAGCGTAGTACCTATGTTGGTTGAATTATAATACTTAGTATCTTAAGCGCAGTACCCATGCTGGTTGAGTTTCATCAAATATCGAACATGACAGTTTTCCTGCTATTTAAAGGCACACATGTAGTGATATAACTGAAGTACCTGTCAAAACCCACACAGCTAACACCAATATAGATATCTGCTAGTGGATGCTCACTCTATCAACCACTGGTTTGCCTGCTCAAGGCCTTACATACAGGAACATCTGACTTAATGTTACAGGCTCTGAATTAGGTGGATAACAAGAATCTCACAATAACTTGTTTATTTGCCCCGAACATTGACAGTTGTTTAATTGAAGCTGGGTTGGTCATGATATAATGAACAGGAAGCCATTTATTATTGTGTCATGAAAACATATTGACCTTGAAGAAATAGTTGATACATAATACACCTCCAGGCCCTTTACTGGCAACCACCGACACGATACGGCTATATGTGGATCCTCATTAGATAGCGATACCATTGAGCACAGGATTGGCTATAACAACATTGACAGTGAAACACTTGAAGTATTGGATGCTGTCGTCATCGCAGTGCACCAAGCATAACAATCAGCTGATAACAACGTGGAGTACGGAGGCTGTGTGTGACAAGGCAGCCTTTACAACCATTGTGTCACGGCAAGCTGTACACACATGCCCGTAACCTACATATGTCGGTTGTATACGCATAGCGGTATATTATAATAATATATATATATTGGTTGTTCCAGGTCAGTCAGCAGGACACATACGTGGCTGAAGATTTTAGTCAAATAGTTTAGTGCTTCAGATCACGTCCTCATGATGAAGTGTGTGGACATTTCATGGCCGTTAAATTACCATGATGTTATATATAAAGGTACAGTTTGAAAGCTGTGCTGTTCATTAGCTCAGATGTGATGTTTATGTCAGTGGCGCCATGTCACCCTACTGTCCTCGAGTCACAATGTACTTAGTGCGTAAAGTGTCGTCTGTTGATCAGCTACATGTTCTCCCTGCTGTCGCACTCACTCACTCACTCACCTACCCACTCACTCACTCACTCATCAACTCACTCACTCACTCAGTCATCCACTCACTCATCCATTCATCCACTCACTCATCAACTCACTCACTCACTCACCTACCCACTCACTCATCCACTCACTCACTCATCCACTCGCTCATCCATTCAATCACCCATTCTCTCACTTATCCATCCATTCACTCACTCATCTATCTAATGCTTAGCCCTTGAATGTATGTAATATTGATAGTAGAGGATAAGCCCATTAAACCTGAAAAGTGAGTTGGGAGATTCAGAACCTGAGGAAATCTAGACTTGTTTCATTTAGAGCTTCAGCATTGCAGGGAGGGCTGGGCAGTAGGGAAAATAATGTGGTTCAGGGACTGAGAGACAGACTACCATCCACTCATCCACTGGCTAGTGTCCATGTGAAAGTATATTCTTCTTCCTGCATTTAACTGGATATGAGTGATTGAGAAGTCTGTACACCTACTAACAGTCAAACACACAACACTTGTAATGTATTGTACGGCAAAGTGGTCAGGCTTGCTGACTTGGTTGATGCATGGCATAGCATCCCAATTACATGCTCATGATGTCAGCCACTGAAAAGTCTGTTCCAGATTCAATTATTTACAGAATGCAGGCATAGAAATACACAATGCCATTTAGAAAGTGGTCAAATGTAACATATGCTATTTGGGGATTACACTTTTTCAGTAAAGTACAGATTCTAGTACTTTTGTTGGGTTGGGTCCCATCCAGGAATCGAATTCACACCTTCAGTCAGGCAGCTGATTGCCAGCACACAAAAGTAGTGTCTGTACCTTACTGAGAAAGGGTAATTCCATATAACATATGTTACGCCATCATGTAGTCTGAATATTCCTGTGCAGAGTGTCAAACAGCAAACAGATATCCCACTGTTAATCTTAGGCAAGTGAGTATGCCTCTGTTCACCAAGTAGAAAATAGGTACCCAGTGGGATAAGTCATGTGACTATTAACCTTCTAGCACCTCACAGGCAGCTTGGGTTATCCGGAGTAATAATGATAATGTCCAGCAAGCAGCTAGACAGATGGATACAAAGCGCTATAGATGTGAATGATTGTTATTATTGTTATTATTCATTAACAAATATACAGCACGAATCTTTATGGAGTAAAGATACACAGCTCATCAATGAGGTCAACTTGTTCAGTATTGATCCTTTGGCAAGTTATTGGTGATGCAAAAGCAACTTTTTAAGGGACTAATATTAGTGTGTCATGTTACCCAAACAACAAACTAACAAGAGGTGGTATATCAGTGATTCCTTTCAAAATGGCCACCCTCAGTCAGAAATACAGTGTTACGAAGTCAGCGAAAACCTCAGTGGGCGCATACGTCTTGTATCATCATGACAAAGAACACATTCAGAACTTTCGTTTGTGGAATAATTGATTTGAGATTCAATAAATTAATGGTTCTTTGTGACATTTTTTCTTTGAAAGATGAGAACTATCAACACATTAAACTGAAATATTAAATCAATCTTGGCTTTAGAAGTAGGTTAATGATTAAGGTAGTTTATCTAAAAACAAGAAAACTGAAGAATGAGCAGGATTGAATGCGATGATATCCCGGATGATGCATGAATATTGGGCTGTGAAGATAAAGCATTGACTGGTAATTCAACAGTTACTTCATAGTGTGAGATTGTGAGTGTGAGTCACTAAGGCCATACAGTCAGACCTGATGAGGATGTAGTCCTACAAGGAAGTCACTGGGACACAACCATTTGATATGTGGACATTAAAACTGGGGCTGTGACTTGTTTGATCTGAATCATAGCAAACTGAAAATGTTGGAATCTTTGGTGTAGCTGAGTGATGAAAGATGGAGATATCTTATCATATGCTGATTTCTTCTCTTCTCCCATATCTCCTCCCTTCCCCCCCATTCCAACACCCCCTCCCCTCTTCTTTCCTTCTTTTCGCCTTCCTTCTAATTCTCTTCCTCCTTCGTCTTTCCTTCCCTTTCTTCCTCCCTTTTTCCTCTTTCTATCTCCCTCTCGTCCTCCCTCTCTCCTTCCTTCTTCCTCCCTCTCTCTTTTTCTCTATCTTCTCTCTCCCTCTCCTTTCTCCTCCCTTTCTCTTTCTCCTCTCTCCTCCCGCCCTCCTTTCTCTATCTCTCTCTCCTCCCCCTTTCCTTCTCTCTCCCTCTCCTCCTTCCTCCCTCCCTCCAAGTTGATGAGGGAATGAAGTGTAGGTGATTGTTTTATGTGCTCTGGGGTCAGTGAAAGAGACTAGGCCCAGTGGTCAGTGAGGGGTCAGGTAAACATGTTGCCCCAGACAGCTAGCAGACTTCTGTGTGCAAGCCACACATGGAACACACCTCTGCAAACACGAGCCTTTTGCTCCAGAAAATGCTTTCTTTGAGTTCAGTGGCCAATGCTTAATGATGAATGAAGCCGACATATGTACATTGGACATATATTTAAATGAAATATGGCAAAATAACCCCAGAAAAGTCAAGTGATTTGAAAAGAAATTGGTCCATTGGCTAAGTGTAGTAGTTTAGTAGGCTAGTGGTCTGGACAGAGGTCCACCTCTAGGTGCAATGGGCTTTACCATGGTGTTATTTCACTATCAACATGAGTGTGTATGTGTGACTGCTGAAACTTGTCGTGTCTTAATAGTACAAGCCCACAGATACCATAGGGCAGTGTGACATAGATATTCAGCTCAAACAGTCCTTGTTTTATACCTCAGTGCTCTGCACCAGTCAGGATAGTAACAAGTTCTGTGTTCTGACATCTTATGGTACCGAATCATCCAACAGGACACAAGATTGAACCACTGACCTGCCTCTCTCCAGGAAAACACTCCATCCACAAGACCCTAGATGTGGTCTGATTGGCGTATTGGATACAATATGCTAGGCACCATGAGGATATGGGTTAGAATTGGTCTTCAGTGACCCCTGCTTGTTGTAAGAGGCGACTAACAGGATCGGGTTGTCAGGCTAAATGTCTTGGTTGACACATGTTATCGGTTCCCAATTGTGTTGATAGATGCTCATGATGTTGATTACTGGATTGTCTGGCCCAGACTCGATTATTTACAGAAAAAAATCCCAACAATATGTTAGAATTTGAGTTTGAGCCTTTGCATGTATCTTAGATTGTTGTTTTGTTCAAGTCGAGCTCATTAAACTGCATTTATTAAAAATAATATGAAACATGACAACATTGATGAGACACCCTATTCTCAGAAAATGGAAGTACTACATTTAGCAGTTTGCACCTAATAACCCTTACAATATTGATTCTGTAAGGTGGTCTAAATAAATATGTACAAGTACCTCTTAAAAATACTAAACAGGGAAAGTTTATAAACAAAATCTGTATTAGTTGATGATTGCCATGTTTCTGAACTCTGACAATGTGCTGAATTATTCAATATGTGATTGTGTTGTGCAACTAGTTATTCATTACTCTGCATGTGGGAAAGCGTTGAAAGGATCTCAAATGCCAGAGAGTCAAGGAAACAATGGACCTATGTAATACCTTGAAGGAATTATGCCGTGTTCTATTGATCCCATGTAGAAAGATAGCCTGCACCAATTTCATTTCTTAATATATTTATATTTTCTCAGCTAAGATGCTGGAGTCAATAAAATAAATAAAAAGGGGTTTAATGACTAAGAAAACAACTGAAGTTTGAAAGTAGTAACAAACAACCTTATGTTTTCATTTTTGATCATATTTTACTATCAATCAATTGTAAGGTTAGAGAAATTTATATTTGTTCTACAGGTCCACTTGTCACTTTATTTAGCTTTTCTCTAAAAATAGCCATTGTGTAACCGGAAATAATTGTGACTAATGACAGTTATGTAACATACAGTTAAATATATATTGATGTTTAAACTGTTATCGCCCAGTATATATACCCAAAAATATATATGATGCCCCCAAATGGCATAGTATATACACAAACAAATACAATAACAAGCACAATCCAGTATTTGATAGGGACACCCCCACCCTCCCCCATCACTTTTTCTACGCTGCATGCTCTCTGCTCTGTAATAGAAATAGAAAGAATGACGCTAATTCAGCCTGAAGGTTTTTGTTTCATTTTCCCTGAAAATAGGTTTTTAGTACCACACCTAAAATATTTTATGACAGGTTTATTTGAACAAAATGCATTTCAATATTACACAGCTTTAACTTTGTAACATTTGTTCACAATATAAGCTGAAGCATCAAAGTGTTGTGTCATTCTGTTGTGTCGTTCTTGTGTTTATTATTTATTTTACAAAATGTCATTGTGATCTGTTTATTATTGATGTTATGGTGAAGAAGAAAAATATTTTGACTGTGACAGATGATTAGCAAAATTTCATGAGAGCCTTTATGGCGGCTACATATAATGATTTCTATAGATGTTTTTTGCACCAATAATATGAAAATTGAATGAATGTATCTGTGTACGTGATTCAAGTTGTGGTTGGAAAACCTATTCTGGTTACAGCTGTTTTGAAGCATGAATAATTCAATCAGTATCAAAGCTCAAAAGAGAAAACAACTAAAACAATATTTTCGTCATTCAGAAACTAGATTCCAACTGTTTTCAGCAAGTACATGTATCTGGTTTGATTATAAACTGTACTATTTTGTGTGTGTGATGCCATAACTGTGTACTCTGTACAGTGCAGTGTACATGTGTCCTGTAGGTGGTCTTAGTACCAGGAAATCATAACTCCCTTACTTTAACATTAGCTTCTGATTGTTGTCACCATGAAGACTCTCATACTTTAACATTAGCTTCTGATTGTTGTCACCATGAAGACTCTCATACTTTAACATTAGCTTCTGATTGTTGTCACCATGAAGACTCTCATACTTTAACATTAGCTTCTGATTGTTGTCACCATGAAGACTCTCATACTTTAACATTAGCTTCTGATTGTTGTCACCATGAAGACTCTCATACTTTAACATTAGCTTCTGATTGTTGTCACCTTCTGATTGTTGTCACCATGAAGACTCTCTTACTTTAACATTAGCTTCTGATTGTTGTCACCATGAAGACTCTCATACTTTAACATTAGCTTCTGATTGTTGTCACCATGAAGACTCTCATACTTTAACATTAGCTTCTGATTGTTGTCACCATGAAGACTCTCATACTTTAACATTAGCTTCTGATTGTTGTCACCATGAAGACTCTCATACTTTAACATTAGCTTCTGATTGTTGTCACCATGAAGACTCTCATACTTTAACATTAGCTTCTGATTGTTGTCACCATGAAGACTCTCATACTTTAACATTAGCTTCTGATTGTTGTCACCATGAAGACTCTCATACTTTAACATTAGCTTCTGATTGTTGTCACCATGAAGACTCTCATACTTTAACATTAGCTTCTGATAGTTGTCGGGCAGTGGGGTAGCCTAATGGTTAAAGTGTTGGCTCGTCACGCCGAAGACCCGGGTTCGAATCCCCACATGGGCACAATGTGTGAAGCCCATTTCTGGTGTCCCCTGCCGTGATGTTGCTGGAATATTGCTAAAAGCGGCGTAAAAACCAAACTCAGTCAGTCAGTCTGATAGTTGTCACCATGAAGACTTTCATACTTTAACATTAGCTTCTCATAGTTGTCAACATGAAGACTCCCATACGCTGACATTAGCTTCTGATAGTGCCCCAACTTCTATTTACCTATTAAAGAAGAAAACTTTCACACTTAAAGTTGACTTCCAATAGTTGTCACCTCAAGACTCTCATCCTTAATCGTGTTAAGCCCATTTTCTGGTGTCCCCTGCCGTGATATTGTTGGAATATTGCTAAAAGCAGCGTAAAACTAAACTCAGTCAGTCAGTCAGTCATCCTTAATCTCGGCATCTAATAGTTGTCACCCCAAAGACTGCCCTTCTTTAACACTGACTTACTTAATAAGCTCTTGGATTCCTATATTTAACTGCTGTTGACTATGTACTATGTTTAATTACTTTACATCCATGGACGTATCATTCCCTACAGACTTAGGGCATTGAGCTGGCTTCAATAGTGCACATGAACCTTATGGAAAACTTCATATTTATCTGTGTCTTAGGTAAGATTCAGAACTCATGACTACATTATCAGTATATTAACATAACAGCTATTCTTTCCTGGGGCAAAAACTTTGTCCCAATAATGTCTCATGTTCTCGACACATTACTTAAAGGCACAATGTCACACATTTTCGACTATATTTTGGCCTATGTTATATATATTGGGGCACATGCACTCACTTTAGCTTCCTAGTGATGCAATAAAAGACTTATTATCCCTTACGACTTGCCTGAAATTGATAAACGAAACTTCGAGGCAGACAGCTTCCCCAAAAAGAACACTTGCCAAAATATGAAATGTAAACAATCATTCATTTCAAAACTGTCGCAGTGTTGTCAGTGTTTGCCGTACTGGTTTCAATCACAAGGGACATAACTTTATCGGGTTCGCTTGAAATAATTTTTGGCCGATAGAGGGCGCGAGAGTTGATTTAATGCAATGCTGCATTAATTCATTTGAACTTTTTAATTTAATATTGTAATCTAAATACATAATTTGGGGGGGGGAATAAATTATATATTAGTTTACCTGAGGGCTGATAGCATTATTGAGAGAAATGCATTATGTATTTTTAGAGAAGTGTGGTGTGACATTGTGCCTTTAAAGTAAACAAAATTTAGTATTGGTAGGTCATGCATAACATGCATTTTTAAATCATTTAGTGAAAAAAGCTGTTAAAGCAAGTTGCAGGTCAGACTTGTGCAAGCTAGATAATGAACTAAAGTGGAGACTCACGACAACCTGTTAAGTCAGCTGGGTTTTGTGTCTCAGTTGTTAGAATGTAGGTCGAGTCCTTGCCTAGGTGTGTTGATAGCATTTCGAAACTAGTTTCTTCACCATATCGTTATGGTAGAGTAACATCAGGTTGGATCAAAGAAATATTTTATGAATACATTTTGATTGCATTGAATGTTGACAGAACCAAGTGTTTTGTGGACTGGTTTGACCTTGAGGTTCAGCAGCCATTAAGCAGTCAGTCAGTCAGTCACACTGCAAGCTAGGACACCCATGGACTTACACCAGTCTCTAAACCAATAATCATTAGTTTAAGTCCTGATAGGGCGGTAGGGTAGCCTAGTGGTTAACGTGTTCGCTCATCACTCCGAAGACCCGGATTTGATTCCCAACATGGGTACAATGTGTGCAGCCCATTTCTGGTGGTCATCGCCTTGATATTGCCAGAATATTTCTAAAAGCGGCGTAAAACCATAGTCACTCAATTAAATCCTGACGTCTAGATTACATAAATAATGAGGACAAGTTGCCCCCTGTATAAGATAGGCATCCTTGTCCTGTCTGCTTATCTAGACTTGCATCTTTAAAGAATAGAATTAGTTTACATCCATGGATTTATCATCCAGTGCAGACTTAGAGTAAGGCTAGGAATATTGTGGCAATTGTTATTGTGGCCGAGAACTATTCCTGTGGCACTCTAGCCATTCCGCTTGCTTGCTTTACTAAGGGATGGTACATTCCTCATGGAGACACACTCGAGTTGTTCCCAGTCACGAAGGATGTGTAGGTAGTGTTTGCTTGTTTTTAAATGCAGCAGTCAGCACTATGCCAGCTATGTGAAACTGGCTTGTAAATATCTCGGAGTGGAACATTCAAACCAGTGATTGATGTAATGAGCAGTTTAGTTTTATGCCGCTTTTAGCAATATTCTAGCAATATCATGGCTGGGGACACCAAGGATAAATTTGCAATTTTTTAGAAGGGTACCGGTGCCACTGGACACCAGACAGATAATTTAGGTGAAAATATTCTACCCTTGCCTTTGATATTCACCAGAAATAGGCTTCACACATTGTACCCATGTGGGGAATCGAACCTGGGTCTTTGGTGTGACAAGCGAACGCTTTAACCACTAGGCTACCCACCGTGCCAGTTTATGATGACATACAGTCAACCACGCTACCAAGTCTAAACAAGTGAGTGAGTGAGTATAGTTTTACGCCGCACTCAGCAATATTCCAGCTCTTTGGCGGAAACAAGTAAGTGAGTATTGTGGAACGCTGCATCAGTAATGCTGATCAAACAATTAATTAAATATTTCAAGACATCAATATTGCATTATCTTTTCTTCAATTATGCTTCACATACATCTGTGTTATTAGCAGTGATGAAACATGATTCATTTTTTTTCGTTTTATTTAGATTAACATTTTCTTTATCTCTGTCTCCAGTCATGATCTTCAAACCAATAAAAACTTAATTTCTACATGTTGGTAGTGCTGGTGGATGCACTGTTAATATATATGTCAGTAACACATTCATTGCTTACTGGTTACATATACTGACACCATGTTTAGTCCTAGTTGCAAAGCCTAGGTGCATATACTTTCATAACAGAACTGTGCACGTCATATTGCAGACATGTACGTGATGGGGAGAAATTAATGTATTGCTGATAGCATTGCTACAGGGAGTGAACAGATCCTTACACAAACATGTTCCGAAATCCTGTACCATAGTGTTGGGAATTGGTTGAAATCTCACAATTGATAATTGGTTCATTACTAATCATCGAAAAAAAATTGGTTAGCACATTTTTCAGATTTTCCTATTCAGGTTGTTGTTGTTGGTTTTTGTTTTGTTTTTTTGTTTTCATTTAGAATTGCGTAAATTTCACATCCAATGTAAAATTATGCAAATTGCTAATTTAAAGTGATGACTAAATTATCATGAACATAACTTTCCCAGAATCTTCAAGAAATATTCAGTCATGACTTTTCTGTAAGTGAAGAGAGTTTTCTAAGAATTAAACATGTTTTCAGACCCTGACAACTTCTAAGATAGTTTCCATTGTCAAGTGTTTCAAACACTAAAACAGTAGGTCCAAAATTGTTTGTGTTCGATTATGAGAAAATGTGATCAATTGCTTGGTCGTTTGGTCACTGCGGCCAGTCTTCAATTATTTCAATTATTTGGAACACCACTACTGTACCAGCCTCAGCAGTGGTCAGTACTTTGAATATTTAGGGTTATGAGGACCCATTGGGATCCAGGATATAGAACTGACCCATAGTAACCTATGTTGGTTGTAAGAGTTGACTAAATGGATCAGGTGGTTGGGCATGGTGTCATCAGAGCCTGACACCATGGATCGTTACTTGCAACATCGACCACTGGGTTGTCTTTCTCAGACTTTTTGTTTTCAGGATTCTATCATACAGCTGGAATATTTGGTCAGTGCAGCATGAACCCCAAAACAAAGAAACCTTGACTTCCATGTTTACTTTCAAGCTCTACCCAGTCTGTGACGTTGGTCATTAACCTGTAGCCAAGTTTAGTAAATCTCATTCAGCCCATTTTTATCAGATGGTGCTCGTCCACATGTTAAATGAAAAAGCTACTAAATTAGTGCCAAGATACAAGCACAATCTTGGAAACTTAAAACCTTTGGGAACATACAGGTTATCATGCGAATTTGTTTTGGGATGGTTTATGTCCTGCATTAGGAATAAACGTTGTATTTAGCTAGCCTTCATGAGCTAAAAACATAATGTTTACTCCTAATGCAGGATATTAACCATCCCAAAACAAACGAGTGTGATAACCTATTTATCATACAGTGTCATTCTTACTTTATAATTTTTATAAATGCATTTTTAATTACCACAAATCATGAAACTAAACTTCGTGGAATGTGCACAGATATCTGTGACATCTCAAATATGTGCGTAAGTAATATGTTACATCACAAGCTTCGTGACACAATTTTCTACTGATCACTCAGTTGACTGCCTTAGGTCATCCAGTTCCCAGTAAGTTTTTATGTTAAAGCAGGTATTGTTGTCAACAAATCATAGCTTACGTTTGAAAAATAACAACAAATTTGTGTGGAACTTCAGAAAGCTTAAATAAACCTTTTGAACAACAAATACACTTTGTAAGCCTATGAATTTCTATCTTCGCTTCGTAATCCACTCCAACTATTATTACCAGACATGAATTTTGTTGAATCAAAACACTGGCTGTACCGTAACCATGGCTGTCAATCCGGACACGATCGCAGATAGATGGGCATGATGCCATGTTTGTTTACACTGTGAAAGTAGTCCCTAAAATTTGCATATGACCTCTCTAATTTGCATCGATATCTGTATATGACTCCAAGGGATACAGAACATATCCGTTGGCTGTATCCTGCTCAATGCTATCCATTATATGATAAACACTGATATCCAGCCTGGATTTCTCCATGTAAAAAAAAAGAAAAGTTCAATTGGCTCTTGTTGTAGATCAAAAAGACATTTTAATATATTTTATTAAACCTACTGATACTTTTCTGAGACTTAGTTTTCTGAGTGTTTAAGTGATTGGGTATATGTTTCCATTCCATCCATGTCAAGGTAGAAGTGGGAGTAAGGTTTAATACTGCTTTTAGCAATATTCCAGGAATATGACGCAAGGGTATACCAGAAATAGGCTTCATACGTTCGTAACGTTGTACCCATGTGGGGAATCAAACTCTGGTTTTCGGCGTGACGAGCGAAATCTTTAACGATCAGGATGAAGAAAACGTGTTAATGCTTCACCCAGTGCATCCTGCCCTGATCTTAGATGTCTGAGTGAGTGAGTGAGTGAGTGTACTTTTATGCTGCTTTTAGCAATATTCCAGCAATATCACGGTGGGGGACACCAGAAATGGGCTTCACACATTGTACCCATATGGGGAATCGAACCTGGGTCTTTGGCATGACGAGCCAACGCTTTAACCACTAGGCTACCCCGCCGCGCCCTGAGATGTCTGCACTGACACCATGACTCTTAACAGTGCCACAAGTACATTTCTTTGTAGGTATTCCTGAAAGAGCGTTTATCTTGTGTAGGATCTAAATATTATTGTCAACATGACGGGTGGATAGGATGTTCGAACAAACAGTATGGTGTCTGTATGACCACTCCCATCAGTGATCCTGTTTTATGGGTAGATATTTACATTACAAATTACTCTCCACGGTTCAGTAATACAATGCCTATGTAGCCTGGAGCAGAACAAGTACCCCAAACCCTTGGCTGTAAAATTAGGATTGGTTGGTTACAGTGCATAGGTAGGTATCCTTGAAAAGTTCAAAGAGCCTCAGGCTTGTTGTGAGAATAGAATGAGGATTGGTTGGTTACAGTGTATAGATATGTATCCTTGAAAAGGTCAAAGAGCCTCAGGCTTGTTGTGAGAATAGAATGAGGATTGGTTGGTTAAAGAGTATAGGTAGGTATCCTAGAAATGTTCAAAGAACCTCAGGCTTGTTGTGAGAAGAGAATGAGGATTGGTTGGTTGGTTAAAGAGTATAGGTATGTATCCTAGAAATGTTCAAAGAACCTCAGGCTTGTTGTTAGAATAGAATGAGGATTGGTTGGTTACTGTGTGTGCCTTGCTGATATCATGACACGATACCCTATTGAGGACCATTCCTCATACTACCCATCACTGGTTTGTCTGACCCAGACTTGATTATTTACATGTCTTAACCGAGGACATATCTTCTCATAAAGGTTCGACAGCCTCCATGGTGTAGTGGTTAGAGCGTCCGCCCGGAGAGCGGAAAGTCGCAGGTGCGATCCCTGACCGTGTCATACCAAAAGACATTAAAATATGGTACTTGTTGGTCCCTGCCTGGCGCTCGGCATTAATGGGTACAACAAGGACTGGTCGGCTCGGAGTCAGTATAATGTGTCTGAGTGGGGTATTCATGCTTCACTGCGGCATGGTATCTCAGTGGGCTAGCACTATAAAACCAGCTTCAGTCTGGGCTAGTACAAGCAGCCGCACATACACATACACACGCATGCACGTCGTCATATGAGCGAAATATTCTCAAGCACAACGTTAAACCCAATTTCACCTCACCTCACCTCATAAAGGTTCAACCAGTAAACTCTGACTCCCTTTGATTCCTTTTCTTGCCTCCTTCAACCCATAGTATTGCTCTACTAAATACTAACTTGAAAATAAGCTTCGTTACTATTGAGCTAATAATGATTGATTCCTCACATGTAAATTGCCAGGTGTACAAAACTTTAGGAACTTGAAAGTAGTGCACACCCTGTCTTGTCTCACACAATGTATAAGCTCATTCAGCTTGTAGAATTTGTACACCTTCCTACACTCTTAAAGTTGGTGAGGATATACCTAGATATTATATTTATGTTTGCTGACAAGCAAAGTCTTTCTTTCTGCATCATTGTCCAAATGTCTATTACCTTTCCACCGCTCATTATATACAGTGTTTAGTGATTAGGTTATGCTTGTCGTAACCCTCATACTGAAAGTTATCTTAGGGCTCGGAACACAACAGGAACAAATCTCAAGGGCTGTGGTAATTTTGACCCGACAGTATGGACAAAATGGTCAGTGTTATGGACCTTTTTCAGAAAACAAACTAAGGATGTCTTTTTGATATATTGTCTCCTGACTTTTCATAGTATTAGAACTATACTCAGATTTCTACTGTTTGAGGTCCTTGTTTGAGAGCATGTTGAATCTTTGACCTTTTCATTTGGACAGACATATGGAAGGGTCAGCATCTGTTTTAGTTGATTTTTGTTATCATGTGTCAAAAGTTAAAATGATTGTCGGAAAATCTGGACCGACTGTTAAAAGCATGGTTACAAATAGTGTACTTTTATTGCTGGTACAACTACGGATATATGAAAGGGTCATGAATAATTAATTTCTTCACAGACACAATGTGGCTTATTATTGACTTCATGTTACAAGTTGCACTTGACTTGACAAATGACAAGAATAAGGTTTGATTTTGAAGCAAGCCAACCAATCTGAAGCTGTGGCAGGCTGTCAGCCCACGTGCAGAATGTGCGGTAAATGTCTCGCGTCACCCACACACATTACTTGAGGATGAGGTGAATTGTGAGCACAGTCCTTCCTTCCCTTTCACTGGGGCTGCACGTTACACCATTAGGAGGACATACCAGTGCACGATCACAGGGTGGGTATGTTCGTAGTACTGTGTGTAGTACTGTGTGTAGTACTGTTAATAGTACTACCAGTACTGGTCCAGCTTGTAGCCGGTCTTGTAACCGGTCCAGTCTCGTATTACACTATGCTGATTGGGAGTGGTTAACGTGTATACGTTCATTAGCTTCTTGGTTTTGAAGACAAAATATATTTATATTGTTCACTCTTTCAGTCATTTAATTGTTTTACTGAAAAGTAATATTTTTAGTTGTTTCAGCTGTAATTTAAACAATCCTAATTTTAATAAGTGTTGCTTTGTTATTTTGAGATGTTGTAACGAGAACAAAATACAACATGTAGTTATTTTGTTTGAAATGAGAAAAATGGTTATAGATCTGTTTTACAAATTGAGATATATGGTTTTATTGTAAAAA